CCACCACCGAAACAGCCATGTCATCAGTGATTCACCATCCCCCTGGGAATAGTCTTTTAGTAAAATTCGTAGTTCTTTCAGGGAGAGGATTTTGACCTCTGGCTGTGATCCCCCTTGAGATGGTCCCTCTCCTGCCTCCATGTCTAAATTCTCGTCCCTCACCAGGCGGTCCGTTTTCTTGGAGCACTTCTGGTGGGTGGTGACTGGGGCCAACTGGACCATATTGCCCGTGTCCCCGCTGGCTGCTGCCGCTCCCACCGGCACCAAAACGGGTGCAGGGGCAGCGGCCACCAGAGCGGGGGTGGGCACCGGGGCCAGGGCCAGGCACTGGGGCCAGAGCCCAAGCCGGGCCAGAGCTCTGACCAGAACCAGAGCCGGAGCCGGGACAGGGGCTGGGGCCGCCAGGGCAGTTTTTAAAACGATATTATTCTCACGCAAAGAGACCTAAGCACGCCACAGTCTTACAATTAGCACCATTTGAATTACAGTGAAGAACCACAACACATAATTGTAATAGCCATTCCTCATTTCTCCAAACCCCTGTGTCTCAAGCTTGCCGGGCAAAGGAACAGAATCATTTTTCATAAGCATGTTCATGAGGTAGTGGCCAAGGTACTCAGACAAAGCCTTAACCCAACTCAAGCCCGCATCCATCACAGTCCAAAATATATGGCAATATAACATGGAAACAGGGCAAGTCAGCATGACCAGACACCAGAACAACGTTAGCAGAGGTCACAGAAGCATTCTGTAGCAGGCCTCGCAGAAGCACAGTTACGAGAGCCATTTTAGTATTAACTTCCAGCTTGTCTCGTTGGGGAAATAATAATAATCAAAAAAATTATTTCCAAACTCGTGCCCCATGTTGGGCACCAATTTATCCTGTGTCCGTTTAGGGCTCAGGGCAAGCCCAGCGAGCAGGATTTTCTCTCAATTGTCCCCTACCCTCCTAGGGGAGGATTAAAAATAGGGAATAGAGAAAAAGATGCTTCACACAAGGCTGGAAGTTAAGACTATAACAAGCTTAATGAAAACAACAGGGGAAAGGAAAAGGGAATTAATAAGGGACAAAGGATATTTAACTAAATACAAAACCCGATCCCAGTAGTCCCAAGTGGCAGTGTCTGAGCAGTGCCTCGTGGCCGCTGTGACCGCTGTGACTGTCACCAGGGACCGCAGTGGTGCCGGGAGCGGATGGGGGGGGGTGGCGCCGGGGCGGGGGGGGGACAGCCGTCCTGAGATGCGACAGGAAGCAGCCCAGGAAACCAGGAAAAGCGCAGGAAACCTCAGGCCTCCTTGTTTTTTTATAGACTGTGGCCAGAAAGTGGAGGGAACAGAACTGATCTCTGACCCCCCAGGGTCCTACAGACACCACCTGTCCTTCTCTTTCAGGCTGGTAACCCTTAAACCATAACAGTGAGTGAGACTGCAGGAGCAAGAAGGCATCCTGCAAAAAGCTGAAGTAGTGTCCAGATGAATAAAACAGGAAATATTATAAACTCTGCCAAGTTAAATGTATGAATGTGATAAGGACTGAAGGAGTGTGAGGGACAATTGGCAAAAGGCATAATAGCTAATATGTCTGTAATCTGTTCAAACATATCATGGGCAGGAAGTCTGCCAGGGAATTGTTGGGTCAGTGGATGGTCAGATGGCACAGAAGCTATCAGGGGGTGATAAGACTGTGCTGGAGGAGTTGATGAACTCTTGGGAATCCCAGCATGAGTACAGATGTACACTGTAGCACTGGGACAGCACTAACTCCTGCACAAAAGCTTATAGAATTAGTGGGTTTATTTTCTTTCTCCTTAAGATGTTATTGGTACTAATGTTCTACTAATTCTGTTCTTTCCATAGTTTCTACTAATTTGCAATGTACACTTGTCAGGCTAATTGATCACAGGCTAGGGAGTACTTGGAGGGAGAAAAATTGTGAAAAATCTTGTTCTTGTACTCTTGCCCTGAGCATGGAGTTAGCTCTACTGTTGGAGGCAGATAGTTGAATAGATGGACCTTTGCTCTGACCCGAAATGGCAACACTGATAGAGACTTTCTAGTCTTTAAAGAAAGTGACCAGGAGTGAAAGCAGGAAAGTTTATGCATGTGGCGGGTTGGCAGTGTTGTTGGATCCAAGCTCAAAGCAAGACTTACGTCTGTATGGAGTGCTTTGCTAATGAAATACCTTCTCCTTTACTCTGCCTGGAAACTCTATGTGGTTGTTTGAGAATTGTCTGTGTCTGGGAACCTTTGAGAGTTACATGC